TACCAGATACAAATTACAAATATTTTCTCCAATTCTGTGTCTTGCCTATTTGTTTACCTGATCATTTATAATGTTGTCAGTATCGTTGTCATGTTGTAGATTTTACCAAGATAAGAAAGACATCCCTTTGAAAGAAAATGTGAGCAGATGATGAAATCATAGCAGAATATGAACTTGAACATTCACTTTAGGAAGGTTCACCTGATCCTGGGGATTAGGTAGTGAGAGTGGAGACTTAATGAATTAAGGCATGTGGTGTTGAGTCAGAACTAGAGGACAATGGCCATGTCAGTAAAATATATCTGTAAATCTATTTTACTGTTGCCAAGCAGTAGAGACCTCTGTCTTTCCTTACCAGTCCTCAAAGTCTCTTTCTTCTCATACCTGCTCTTTTCCTTATTATTCTCCTGTTTGAAAAACCTAGCACGGTGTTGAACATCCCAGGAAGAAGGACTGGTTCTCAGTATTGAAACTTTTAAGTACAAGTAGCATAGTGACTTGATTATCATGGTAGTACAATAGTTAAAAAGGTTTTAGAAGCCTAAGGCTTTTGGTCCAGGACAGGGGTTGGCAAACTATGGCCGGTGGGGTAAATCCTTTCAGCTTGATGCTTATTTTTAAAAATGAAATAAAACAAATAAATATATGTTATGTGTTTTCTGTGGCTGCTTTCATGCTGCAATAGCAATCTTGAATTGTTGCATCTGACCATCTGTCCTGCACAGCCTAGAGTATTTATTTTCTGGCCTTCTATAGAAAAAGTTTGCTGACCCCTGGTCTGGAGAAACAAGCCCATTAACCCATAAGCAGAAATAAAATGAGTCCTTTCTGTCAGGGTGAAAACTCATGTTTCCTCAGAGACTCATAGGTACCATTCATGATAATAAGGGTGGCGCTATCCAAGAAACTGGGACTAGTCTTAAAGGTCTTGTCTCTTAAAAGTATAATAACATATTCATTGAAGTAGCATTGTGAACACAATACTCCTCACATCAGAAATAAGCACTTTTTGTAGAGTACTTAAGTAGTCATGTAGATGTATGTGGTTCTCCAGCAGACTTCTAGTATATGTGCTGCTGAAGTGAGCACATCCTCCGACAGCCTTCTAAAAAGCACTTTATAAAGCTGCCTCCCTTGTATCTGGCTTTCCTCTTGTAGCCCCTGCCTGCCTGCCCTAAGAGTTAATACTAGAAAAGAAAGAACTCGTTTAACGGTGTACCAGGATTAGGCTTAGAGGATGCAGAATTAACAGAGGTGGGAAGGGGGTCCAAAGAACGAAATCAAGAAATTTAAGAGGCCTCCTTTGTTGTTGGAACTGAGAGGATTAGAAAAATCCTACAGATGATCTGTCTTAGTAACTACCTCTTTCCAAGGTACATAAGTAAAATGAGTAACATCAAGAATGCATTAGGGTTTCCTAGCTGAGTGAGCAATCTTTATACAGTTTGTGCCATGTAGCAAGGAATTTTATTGAAAGGATGAGTTAGAGGATCCCATTGATTTCTCATGTCTTTTATCAGTGTCTTGCCAGTGTTTATTTTGAGTTTGTCTGCTGCACCATTCATGACTTCAGGGAAATGTCTCTAGTGTCCTTTTCTTTAATTCGGTATCTTAATTTTACTCGTCTTCCTGTTGTTCATCACTTATTTATTGACTTAAGGTTATTTGAAATTCGCCTACCTAAAAAAATGGTTTTGTATAATGAAATGTAATTTTTTAGGCAATGGCAATTTATCGAACATTCAAAACTGAGAAATACTAGTACCTTTTTTTTCCTTTATCTCTAGAGATGCTATCTTGTGGCCAATACTATTAAGCCTGAGATTCCAGCCTCCAGTCTTGTTTATTTTGTCAGAAAGTAACTCTTTCCTTTTAAAATCATGACAAAGCCATTCTGTTAGATATAATTAATTATGTCCTGGGAGTTGGATATGATGAGATGACTTAGTTTTCAATCATAATTCATGTGAGGACACATTTCATTGATATTCTCCTTCTCAATTTATATTTAGAAAAAATCAATACTTAGTCTTTTCCTTAATACAGAGTAAAAACAGGATTATTAATTAAAGGCACATTTTATTTTGGACCTAAAGGATAACTACATTATCGTTTTAATCTTAAATGAGATATATGTAAAATTGTTACATATGCTAAGGATATTTGTACAAATTTAGGATATTCTTAATCTTTATAAACCAATGCTAATATATGCTTCTTTATGTTTTGGTTATTTTTGAAGATGCTTTTAGTAGATTATTATACCTTAAAAAATCACTAAGTTCTTCACTGAAACCTTAAACTAAACACTTTTTAGTGTAATTTTAACTGAGTTGTTTATCCTCTAAATAAAATTTGTTTCCTTTGAAGTGATACTAGTTGCCAAGTCCAAAGATTAAGGGGAGACAGAGAATCTGTTCTTTTGGTGGACTCATATTAGGAAAATAGTGTGAAGCCTTAATACAGTGTTAGCTTGTTCTGACCTGAGCATCTTCTTAAAGTTAGTATGTAGACACAAGCTTCTTAGGAAAAAAAAAGCACTGTTGATGAAGTCATTGCACATTTGTTAAAATTATAGCCTCCTTTTTCATAAATGTACTTTATGCTTCGTTTAAATTTTTAAAATTTACAACTTGTTAGTCATTTGTTTATAAAGAAGCATTCAGAATTCTAGATTTATATAGTAATAAAACTACTCAGTTTTTCCAGCTTTCTTTGTCTAAGGAGCTTTTTGGAGGGCGTGCTTTATTTTTATGTTTCTATTTATTTAAAATGCAACCATGTTTCATAGGAGACATCTATACATAAAAGATAATACAGTTGTATAATGACTTAATGTTCTTTTACTGTTCCATTTGAATATTAGAAAGAATAATATCTTTAGTCAATTTCAGTTGCATATAAGTATTTTTCATATTCAGTATTCCCCAAACAGGACTTCTATTATTAAAAATCTGATACGATGCTTAATTACTCAGAATATATTCTAATAATTTAAATTCTATTGAATATAATATTGTTATTTCTAAAAATACACACACATTAGGTAATATAAACACCTGTTTTTATTTATTCAGATCTTACTGGATTTCACACATAGTAGCCAACCCCTGCCAGCTCTTTGTTACTCTGTGATTTAGTCATTTACATGGATTTATAATTATTCTGCATTTATGCAATCTGATTTTGATCAGATGTTTCTTTTTTCTATTAATGTAAGCTAATTGTAGCGCAGCCGATTTTTCATTTTCCATTGTAAGAGAGGAAAGAACACAGCATAAAAAATTAATAATTTAAAAATAATTTTGAAATCTCAGGCGTATTTTTGTTTAATTTTTTTCTTCACTAACAATTTCTGCAACCACCTTATCACTTCAAAAGCTTTTCAGTAATACACCTAACAAGAAGCCAAATGGACAGCTTTTATTATTTCATTTTAGTTCATGAATCTGGTTTGTATTAGAGGTGCTAAGAGTGAATGATTCATGACTAAAAGATGAGGGTGGCATGTGGGGGTGGTAAAAAGCAAAGTTTTAGATAATCCACATGCTGAATAATCCTCCTTGAAAAACAGCAAATGAAGAAAACATTTCACAGAATGCTTTTTATATCATTTGTCGCAGGAATATATTATTCTGACCAAAAAAAATGCTACTACAGAAAACATAATAAAATATTTGCGTATTCTGTCTGACCCATAGAAAGTACTCAAATAATCTTACTTAATACTTTTAAGATTCTAATCCTTTTAAAGAATGAAGTGATTATTGAAATGTTCTGCAATCCCTTAGTTACAGTATTAGTATATTATGGGGTCTATTACTGTTATTTTTCGAAGATTTCACTTAAATAGAAGTCTTTATTGTATACCGTGTTTGCATTATAGTCATCTAAGAGAGATCTTTTAGCCCTACCATGTAGTTGAAATTGCCCTTAAGATTTGTCATATTTATAACATCAGTAGAAAATAATCAAAAGCACCCTGGAGTAGTCCCCAGTGGTTGCAGTTACATACCTCATCTCATTGCCTTACTGGAAACTTATATATTAATTTCTTTATGCTCCTTACCACTGATAGGGCTGCCACGGGTTTGTCACGGTGAAGAATGCATTTCACACAGTCTCCAGATTTTTAAAATTTCACTATCAGAAACCATTTATCTTATAGAGTTCATTTTAAGAGTTTTTTAAGCCTATATTCTTTTGCAACCAATGTAATTTCTAAACCTTTTATCGGTTTTGTAGAGATATTTGGTTACAGCAAATGGTGTTACTAAATTTTTTCATAAAGTTCTTATAGACTCATGTAATTAGTAATGCTCATTAAATATTGTTAATTGTCACCAATGTTATTATAACTTCATTCATAGAACTTCCTTAGATCCATTTTGACACTTCATTTTTTTCCTAAAAAAAAAACAACATAATGGGTATTAAGGAGGGCACTTGTGATGAACACTGGGTGTTGTATGTAAGTGATGACTCACTAAATTCTGCACCTGAAACAAGTATTACACTGTGTTTAAATAAACAAACAGGGCAAAACTAAAATAACAAAACAAAAAACCCCCAAAACTCTCTGAAGGTAATCTCAGAAATTTGTTGTCTTGCAGTTTGAGCTGTCTTAACACTTAAGCAGCTTTCCAAATGGCCACTCACCACTTGCAAAGTGGTCAGGTGCCTTTTAAACATTAAATTCATGTGATTGCTTCAATTGAGAATGTCCTGGGAGGAGAAAAGAGGAGACTGGATTGCAAAGCTGACTTAAATCCCTTACTGTTAAAACCTGATTATGTACGTTGACATTTTGCCCCACTGTTCAGCATTCCTTTTCAGTTCACGTCATGCTGAATTACAGGCAGATCATTGTTTTTAAAATATTTGGAAAAAGTCTATAGTACCTTTTCTTAAATTGTAACAAGTTTGAAAAATGTAGTGTTTCCTGATGGAAAAATTCTGAGTATTCTAATGGCTTTTTAAAAAAATCATTTATTTGCTAGGTAAGTTCTCTTCTACGCTTTATGAGACTGGTGGCTGTGATATGTCACTTGTGAATTTTGAACCAGCAGCAAGAAGAGCATCCAATATCTGGTATGTGTGAAGTCATATTAGGAGAATGTATGTACTTGCATATATTTGCCATGTTTAAAGATTTTAGGCCTTGAGATGGAAAAGTTATTTTGAAAACATTTGTTCATATTGGCTTAAATAATCTGTCACTGTGCATTTGTCTCCAGAGATTTAAGGTAGAATTTATTGTTCTGGAAAAAAGAAAGCATTATTCTTAAAACAAAAGCTGTTCTGTATTTTAAATATTAAGTAAAAATTCCCTGTAGATCTTATAGTGGGGGGGGTTTCCAACAATTTCAAATTTAACTATAGATTTTGTGCTACACACACGCACACGTGCGCGCATTGCAAGATCAATAAAAAGCGTATTTAAAAAAGGCTTATTAGAAAAATTAGAAAAGGTCAAGTATCTTTTTACATGATCATCTTTTCTTTTGTTTTAAAATTTGTTTACCAGCTATAAGAAAGAGGAATTTCTTAAAATATGGGTCATAATATTACATTTAGTTTCTTTTCTCTCCTTCCCTTACGAAGAAATTACACTGTAAGATAAGGAAGAAGTTAGGAGAAAAGCAGATAAGAAATAGAAATCTTGAGCATGCAATCAGTTATAACTTAGAATGTATTAAAGTTTTTTCTAAAATATTAATCTTATTCACCTATTCAAGTTGTTGCATTGAAATCCATTATTAAGTGATTAGCTCACTTTTTTTGCAGGGATCATTTGAATCCTATTTTAGGATTTACGTTTAATAATGGGACACACCTATTTAAATGTTACACATCTATGGCAGTTCACTTATTTTTTTTAAAGTTTTTAGGGGCCATTTAAAGCACTAGGATCTTGCAGTCACTTAGCTTAACTTGCTGGAGAGAGAGAACACTTGCTAAGCTTCTTGAGTCCAGTTTCAGAACTGACACTGTCGAGAATGACCAAAAATTCAAGTGTTAGGTGATTTCCTAACAGTGGAAACAATAGAAAGATGGAGCAATGGAAACAATTATGTTTAATGTAATTTAAGATAAGAACAATTCCTTACACCATAAACGTGGTAAGGTGTCAAGTTTCAAAAATCTAAACTTGACTGTGGAAGCGGAGTGGTCACATTCTAAGCTGTTAGAGCTTAAATTTGTTGTGGCTGCAGGCAATATGTTAATTGCTTTCTTAAACCCATCTCACAAGAACTTTGTGATAAGAGGTGCTATTATCCTGTGTTACTTAGGTGGACACTGAAGTGTAAAAGGTTGGATAACTTTCCCAAATCTCATTTAGCTGATGAAGAGATTTGAATATAGATACTCTGGCCCAGAGGCTATATGTTCTTAATCACATCTGTAGGAAAGTGCGATTTTGTATTTTGAAGTACTTGGAAAAGTGAAGACAGTGTAAATATCATACAATTGTTAAAAGATTTATTTTTCTTTCTATTCCTTGACAAGCTATTTAGTCCCTAAAGTTTTTTTCATTTTATTTTAGTGACACGGATTCTCATGTATCCAGTTCTACCTCAGTTCGATTTTATCCACATGATGTGGTAGGTTTTCCTTTATTTTTATAAAATAATGTACATTCAGATTAAGTAGCGACACAAATCAGAAAAGTTGAGGTTTATAAAATACCAATTTTGTTGAAAACTATGGCAAAATCTCCTTTGCTGTTCCATAGTGGCTCTCTTCTTGTTAAGTCCTTTGTTAGGAAATAAATATAAAACACCATGAAGTTTCATAAGCTGTGTATGAATCAGTAATTATACTTTTGAGAATATGTAAAGGTCCATTTACTCACCAGTGTCATAATCTGGTTGTGCCATCTTAAAACTTGACTTTGAAAATTATGATTTTGAATATTATATTATCTGTTAACTGTTGAGTTACTCATATACCAGTGTGTGTGTGGGAAGCTTAGTGATGATATCGCTGTGTAAAAAATACACCATGTGAGATACAGTGGGGATATTTTAAAAAGATAACACAGCTTTTGCCCTCAAGATGTATTTATTGAACTTAGAAAATGAAAAAAAAAATGAAATTCTTTTTTTAAACTTATTTTATTTAGATTCAATTAGTTAACATATAAAATGAAATTCTTATATGGAACACGTAAGAAATGCATATAAATAAATGTAGTGCCAAAGGGGTTAATTATTAGTGGCTTCCTGAAGATAATTAGTTGTGAGCTGGCTTTTAAGACCATAGATGTGAGTTGGCACAGAACAATGGTTTTCAACATTTGGCAATGTCTGAAAACACTTTTACTTGTCACAACTAGGGGAATGTTACTGCTATCTAGTGAATGCGTAGAAGCCAGGGATACTATAAAACGTCCTACAGTGGACAGCAGAACCCCCAAAGAAAGAATTATCTGACTGAAAATACCTGTAGTGCCAAGATTGAGAAACCCTGGCATAGAGGATAAGAAAAAAAGTGTTTGGGGTGGTACTTGTCAATGCTAAGAGATAAAAATGGCTATGTTATTTATAGGAAGCAGATTTTCTTGACTATACCCACATATGTGTTTGAAAAGTAAAGATTGTCTCTGCTTTTTTGCTGGAGTGTATTCCTGGAAACTTCATAGGAAAGCCAAAAATAGGGAAATGATTGTTTTTTTGGTTTGTTTTCTATGATTGAATGGTATGGAAACACTGGGATAGTGAAATCCTGGCTAGGGCTGTGCTGGATAAGGGAACCTTTAGACTCTTTCAGAGAAAGGGGAAACTGGTGAACTGTTGAGTGGATAAATTAAAGCTAAAAGAAATGTAATGTGGTAATTTCCTCATAGCCTCGGATGAGTAGCCTGCCAAAACAAAAGAAAAAAAGGGGGTGTAAGAGGGATTTGAAAACAACAGTGATAAGAGACTGTAGGAAGAAATGACAGTTGAAGGCATTGAATGCAATTCAGAGGAGCTTAGATTTAACATGGTAATGAGGTTCATAGCTTTGAGAAAAGGCCATAAATGTGGCAGGGAGAAGAGAAGCCACTTATGATTCACAGTACGTGATTTTAATGGATTCACTACCTATACAATCATACAATGTTAAGATTTCAAACACTTTTCCCAATACAGCTTTTCCAAAAGACCTATTGATTAATTTGCTTTAAGTTTACTTCCTATTATCACCTTTTGTAGTTTCTAATGATCATAAAATATCTGTAAGGAGTATAGAGAATTAAGGGGACTTAGATAATCTGCAAGCTGATTGAGTAGCCCTTGAATCATGACTTGATTAAATCAAGATTTTTAAGCCTTTCAGTGCTGACTTTCTTTTAGCTCTCTCTTCCGCAGATTCGATTGAACAGACTATTGACCATCGATACAGATTTGTTGGAGCAACAAGACATTGATCTAAGCCCTGACTTGGCAGCTACTTACGGTCCAACAGAAGAAGCTGCTCAAAAGGTTAAACACTATTATCGCTTTTGGATCTTACCCCAGCTATGGATCGGCATTAACTTTGACAGACTCACGCTTTTGGCCCTGTTTGATAGGTGAGAATACAGTGTGATATTAAAGATCTGTGCAGATTTTATTTTTAAATTGAAATGTCCCTAATTACCACTTGGTTACCATTTTGGAAAATGTTTTCTATTTTGGTTCTTTTGAGATAAAATTTAAGTTAATAGGGCTCCCAAATATTGACTCTCTTCAATTAAAAATTTTTTGTGGCAATTTTAATATGTTTATACAAAAAAAATCCTTTTTATCATCAGTAAGAATCATGGAACTATACTTAAAAGCCAGAAAATATGAAGTGTTAATGGTCATAAGATTATAGGTAATATGACTCTAAATACGAAAGGTATAAGAGGGAACTTCTGTTCCCCTGTTTCGTAGTACTAGTCTTAATAATGAACAGTATTAGTAGTCTATTAAAACTTGGTGCTTCCTATTGACTGGAGTAACAAAGATTGGATTTACTCCTATCTGAAACAACAAAAAGAGACAAAATGCGTGAACCAGTGGTTTTCAGGACATTGGAGATAAGAAAACAAAGGACAGTGATTCCTGAGAGATGGGAAACACATTATGTGGGTCCTACAGTTGCCCCAGCTTACTGCCTTGAGAGAGTTCCCAGTCTTCCTCACTGGCTCCGACACAGGCAGGAGGTACTGAAGTGGAGCCCAGCAGACTTCCTGAATTAGATGGAGCTATGAGTCCAGGGACACCCAACACAGCTAGGACAGAATATCAGAGAGAGGCTGCTATTCACAGAGAGAACCTCAGAGTTCCGCAGTGGGTCTCCACAACTCTTCCACAGAGTACTGATAAGTGAATGTATGTGAAGAAACTACCTGAGGCCGGGGTAAAAATCATGTGAAAGAAATAGATGGACAGTGCCTGACACACAGGGATAGGAATAGCGCCTATTCCCAGCTGTCTGATTGAAGAAACTCATAATTCATATATTATGGTGCATTATGTAGAGTACTCAGGAAAATCTTGCCTTAAAAGTGGGGAATAATTAGCCCTAACATGGGCACTGCTCCAGACCCAACAAACAAGTTATAAAAGCAAGACCTAAAATGATCAAACTATTTCCAAGTAGCATAACAAAGTTTAAGAAGATTTATAGAAATCTGAAAATTGTCACCACCTAAAGACTTTGACAGTGGCATCCAATCAAAGGATTCGCAATGACATCCAACCAAAGATTACCAAACATGCAAAGAAGCCGTAAAACATGATTTATGAGGGAAATAATCAAAACCAGCCTGTAATTGTCACAGATGTTAGAATTAGCTGTCAAAGACATTAAAACAAGTATAATTGTACTCTATATGTTAAAAAAGTAGAGACATGAAAGATATTTTAATTTATTTATTTTAGAGAGCAAGAGAGAGAGAGTGCAAGTGGGGGGAGGGGCAGCTCAATTAAATTAATAAACCTTTAGCCAGGCTGATTAGGGGGAAAAAAAAAAAGAGAAAAGATACAAATTGCTTATAACAGGAATGAGATAGGATATCACTACAGATTGTACTGGTGTTAAGTGGATAATAGGATATTATGATCAGCTGTATGTACATAAATTTGACAATGGACAAATTTCTTGAAAGATAGAAATCATCATAGTTCATTCTGAAAGATACGTTACCTTAATGGTACTATATTAAATAAATGGAAATTGTAGTTAAACACCTGTCTGTAAAGAAAACTCCAAGCCTAAATGGCATCAAAATAATATCCCAAATCAGTTAAGTAGAGAAATGGTAGGCTTTTCAACAAATGGTCTTGGGACCATTGGATTTTCATATGGAAAAAAAAAAACTTTTATACTTATATTGCACCATTTATAAAATTATGAAAATTAACTCAAAATGGATCAAACGTCTAAATGTAAAATCTAAAGCAATAAAATTCCTAGAACAAAACAAAACATAGTAGGAGAACATTTTTGTGACCTTGGGTTAGGCAAAATTTTGTAGATGTGATACCAAAAACAACAAATGAAGTTGATAAACTGAATTCATCAAAATTAAAAACTAACAAAAGCCTAAGGAGAGCATACATTCAGTGATGAGAACTACAGACAGTATGTAATATGGCAGAACTGCCGAGGATCATGGAAACATCTGGACTTCTCCAACTGCCATAGAAAAACAAATGAGAATACCAGTTACTGATTTGAAAGTACTGTTGACTTGTTTTCGTCTGAGAGGACTATAAAATGAACTAGTACAGAAATGTTTGTGAATTTTCTTAGGCCAATTGATGATTATAAACAGGGCATTGACTTAAAAAAAGTTAATAAAAAATTTTATGGTTATAAAAATAATTCTTTACCTATTCTAGAAAATTTAAATATGTATAGGAAGATTTTAAGACAAGAAGAGTCCAACCATAATTCTACCCAGAGAGAACCGGTATTAGTAGTATCATTTTGATATATTGTCTTTTTTAACCCATATGTATATGCTTTTAAATAACAACTTGTATCTTCCTATACATAGTTTTATGTCCTGCTTTCTTTGTATAGCAAATATACTGAGTATGTTCCCATGTCGGTAAATATTTTTTAAAAACAAGACTTTTAGCAAGTATCTAACATTTTGTGAATAAAATTTCCCCAACAAGTAATGAGATAGATTCTTAATTTTTGGTATGACATATAAAAATCATCTTCATTGCTATATGTAATATCTGGGTCATCATATTGTTTAATCAGCTTAATGAAATATAGAACTGTCTCAGCAGCTTTGATAGAGGCAACATTGATGGTTTTTATTACTGCCTTCATTTTCAATATATGTAATAGCCTGTATTTAAGTAATTCTAGTAAATTAGTTTTGAGATTATTTCAGGTGATTTCAAGATGTGGAAAATGAAATCACTTGGTATCAAAATTTGGTTACAAACTTGTCATAAAATAACTTTTCATTTTGATTTTCTAGAAATTGAGGTTTTGTTTTTTAAACGTGTTTCTTTGCATATCTCCTTTTATTTGCTATTCAAGTTGGTTAGTTATTCAGCAACAAATGTTACAGAAAAGCAGATGTTAAAGAAGAGTAAACTTTTGAAATAGAAATTAAAACTAATACTATGTCTTATAATTAGAACTTCACTTACTATAGCATGCTTTACCTGCACATAAGGTTTTGTGTTAATTTTCCATATAAACTGGTGTTTTAATCAGTATCCTCCAAAACCTTATTCAAAACCAGTACCAAAAAAGCATGTGAGCAAGCATAGTATGAACTTCTTCATGATGTCTTCCCTTTTTTCACTCTAATTTCTTATATTGATGATATACTTACTCATAAATTTTTCTGTCTACAGAAATCGTGAGATTCTGGAAAATGTGTTAGCTGTCATCCTGGCTATTCTTGTGGCTTTTTTGGGATCTATTCTTCTCATACAAGGCTTCTTCAGAGATATCTGGGTCTTCCAGTTCTGCCTAGTGATAGCCAGCTGTCAATACTCACTACTTAAGGTACCAGCATCTCTCTTCTTTTCAGACTAGGGAATAGTATTTGTGTTAAAAGGCAGAGGTTTTGTATCATTCATTGCATTATAGTAAGATGTTAATTTTTAGATTTATTTTCCCTAGATGTTTACATTAGATTGGATAGGGAACAAAAGGGACATATAAACTTTAAAAAATCATGGTATGTAAATGAAGCTTCCTAAGAACTATTTGGGGGGGGCTGGTATTAAAAGAAAATATCTGAAAAAAAAAATATCTGGGCATTTGTTAAAAATGAGAATTAACATTCTTGAAATTCATTTTAAAAATATGAACATCAGCTCTCCCACTCCCATATTTTAAGTCTTCTATTCTGTAGATTAAATTTATTAAAATCCATCATTGTTTGGATATAGTAATGTCAAGACTAGTGTATATATTCTTTGGGACACTGAAAGCAGAAGATTGGTATCCCTTTGCTATTTAAACAGTAGCTCTGAAATGCCAGATGTTACTAATTTTAATCTTTCTAAAAAATGGAAAAAATCACATAGCTCATTTTTCATCTTCCATGCAAAATCAGTACGGACTGTTAATGTGGACTGTTTCCTTTTCTTCTGAGCTAGTAAAACTCTTGCTTGTATTGGTTATCTGCCCAGTGTATACTAACATGCAGAACTTGCCCAGTGTATACTAACATGCAGAACTGTCCCCAACCTGAATGGTTATCTGCCCAGTGTATACTAACATGCAGAACTGTCCCCAACCTGAATGGTTATCTGCCCAGTGTATACTAACATGCAGAACTGTCCCCAACCTGAATGGTTATCTGCCCAGTGTATACTAACATGCAGAACTCTCCCCAACCTGAATGGTTATCCGCCCAGTGTATACTAACATGCAGAACTCTCCCCATCCTGAAAACTGTTTGGTTCTGTTTATACTCTTTGCTGTCCTTTCTCTCTTTATAGATAGACATCCAGAAAAACCACTTGTGTCAACTCCATTTCTTTCCATTTCTTCAAGACTCATCCATACTTTTTACCTCATTTGCAGTACTGAAACTACAGTCTTTTTGGGCTAATAAGCTCTAATTGCCAGATCTATGTCCTTTTTCATTCTTTGTGAGTGCTGTATCATTTAGTACCTATGAATACTGTCTTCTATTTTTATATTATCCTCATTTTGATCTGTGACTTTATGCTACCCTGATGATTATCCTAACTTTTCAGATAACTTGAATTTCCTTTGTTGCCTCTTTGGTCTTTGGACTACTTCTTAGTTTATAAGAATTTTAGGATTTTATCTGGCCCTCTTTTCAGCTTGCAACTCCTTGCCGGTGAAGTCACCTTCTTTTATTCATTTGTTGTCCCCATGTATGAATCATGTCTAGATTTATATCTCAAAGTCTTTATCATTCTCACAAGCTTTAGTCCTATATACCTAACAGGCAGTTCGGCACATTTTAAAAATACCGTATCATCATCTTCTGATAAATATTTTTTCTTTCCCAGTTCCTTTGCTTTTGACAGTGGTATACTGACTGAAAATCCTAAAGCCTCTCTGTTCCTTACTTCTCGACCCCTAATAACAAGTAACCAGGTCCCTTTGATTAAATTTGGTGATTCTCTGTCAAAATTTCTGGCCTTTATTCTTTCTATTCCAACCACTATAATCCATCTCTTTATTGCCTTAAACTACTTAAATTCATTCCTTTGCTTCAGTGTCTCTTGTCCTGTTAACTTTGTCCACTATTTTCAGGTTAATCTGGTTAGATATGGAAAGATAAAAGATGACTGAGATTTAAAAATTTTTTTTTAGATTTAAAAAATCTAGTTGAGGGACGCCTGGGTGGCTCAGACGGTTAAGCATCTGCCTTCGGCTCAGGTCATGATCCCAGGCTCCTGGGATCGGGTCCTGCATCAGGCTTCTTGCTCGGCAGGGAGCCTGCTTCTCCCTCTGCCTGCCGCTCCCCATGCTTGTGTGCTCTCTCTCTCTCTAATAAATAAACTCTTTAAAAAAAAAAATAAAAAATCTGGTTGACTAGAAGAATGGTAACCATAAACAGAAGTAAGAAAGACTGGACCAGAAGCTTTTTAGAGGCCAGATGTTGCAATTGAGTTTAGAGCTTACCTGGTCTCATATCCAGCCAAGGGCCACATGCCAGACTTGCTGAGCTTGGTCCATCCTAACTGCCTGTTAGGTATATAGGACTAAGGTCCATAGAGTTGTAGGGTGGTGATAGACCATCCTAATGAAATTGTTTGGACTGCTGTTAGTAATGAACTGGAACTTGGGAGAAAAGTTATGATTTGGAAAGTGGCTGCAAAATACCTTTTGAACATTTTTCAGGGAAGTTGATAAAATCTCTTATAGGGAAACAGCTTAACTTGATGATTTTGATGTGAAAATACAGAGAATAGATTTAATACAAATACTATTGAATTGTTTAGTAAGCTTGAAATTTGTGGGCTGAACTAGAATTCTTCTTACAAACTAACCCATATTTTGTGCATTTCCTGAATGGAGTGGAATCATATAAGAAAGCATTCTACCTTAATTATATGTAGTAATGAGCCAAGGAATAAGATGGACTATCTACCATATGCCATTTCAGAAGTGTAAGCTATTTGTAAAGTTTTAATTAACCATAATAAGCTTAAGAGTCAGGAAAGATTTGAGACCTCTTTGATATCACAGTGACACCACTATCTGGAATTTCATCTTCTCTTATTTTAACAGACTTAATGTAGGTCATTTCTTAGCTGTGGAATATTTTACTTGAAATTATTTCAGGCATTTTGAAAGTTGCTTATAAAGTTACGAGGACCTCAGTAGTATAATCTATCTTTTGTTTCATTTTTAGAGTGTTCAACCAGATTCTTCTTCTCCCAGACATGTAAGTCACTCTGATATGCCTGTAACTTATAATTCCCTAACATTCATCAAAACCTTCTTTTGGTCATATGTCAGATTGAATTAAGATTTATGTTATTATTTTCTCATCTAAGTTTTGATGCTCTACTAGAAAGATGATTTATTAGCATGAAATAAAATGATATTGTAATTGTGGACTCTAAATCTCAGTTGAAAATGAGCATAATTCATTTTTTGACAGCCTGTTTCAGGAGGAGGTTATCAAGTAGACATAGTTCATATAAACTCATAGTTACTTAATAACTTACATTTAATAAAGGTTGAAGAATAAATCATGAATAAGTACTGAAAAATAGAATTTTGAAGTAGGGAGAACTGTACATTATTTTGCTTAGGTAATCATTAAGAGCAAGAATAAAGAAGTAATAAATTGATCTGGTGTTTAGACCTGTGGACCCTAAGGAGATTAAAAACCTTATTATTCACTTTGTGACTTTGGAAGAGTATTAGCTGCTAGACAGTATTTTTGTGAAGTATGGTCCAATTTTAGAACCTACCATAGAGTATTTAATAGAAAAACCAAAGGGTGGGGCGCCTAGGTGGCTCAGTCGGTTAAGTGTCTGCCTTCGGCTTGGGTCATGATCTCAGGGTCCTGGGATCGAGCCCTGCATCGGGTTCCCTGCTCAGCGGGGAGCCCGCTTCTCCCTCTCCTCCTCACATGTGCTATCACTCTCTCTGTCTCTCTCAAATAAATAATTAAAATCTTAAAAAAAAAAAAAAGACCAAAGGGCATTCTCTTTAAAATAGTTCAAAAACAGACTCTAAGAACAGTTTGTGATGATGCCTTCTTTCTTGAATATAATTATTATTTTTACCCATACACTGGAATACTTAATAGTGAGTGTAGATGAGCAAAACAGAACAAGGAAGCAAATTATTTTCTTTCAACTGATTGTTTAATATCTTGTAAGAATGCTTTTGAAGTGTATGATAGATGGGAGCATTGCTTTTAACTTCAAATTTTGACATAATTTGAAATTTAGGGAAAAGTTGCAAGGCTTGTGCAAAGAATTCTTGATGCCATTCACCCAGATCCCTGTGTGAACATATACCATATTTGCTTATTCCCTTTCTAGTTTTTCTCCACCACCACCCTGTCCCGCTCCTTCCAGTCCACACACACTTTTCTGAGAGTGGATTGTAGACACAGTGCCCCTTTACCTCTAAATATTCCCATGTATTTTCCTAGAAACAAAGGTATTCCTTTACATGATTAATTTCAATATAATTATTAAAATCAGGACATTGAACATTGATAGAATAGTATTTTGTAATCTACAGATCTTACTCAGGCATTTCCTGTTGACTCAGTTGGCATAGAAAATCCCTGATTATGTGTTTGTTGTTTTTAGCCTCTAATCTAGAGCAGTTCTTCAGTATATATTTGTCTTTAACGATATTGACCCTTTTGATAGGTACATGCCATTTATTTTGTAGACCATCCCTTAATTTGAGTTTGTCTGATGTTTCTTCTTGATTAGATACAGGACATGCTTTTTTGGAAGGAAAATTATGAAAGTTATGTGTTGTTCTCAGTGTGTCATTTCAGGAAGCACATGATGTTGATTTATCCTTTTACTGGTGATGTTAACTTTCATCTTTTGGCTAAGGGTAGTATCTGCAAGGTTTTTCAAACTCCTCAGTATTAACAGTTGGGGCTGGATAATTCTTTGTTGAGAATCGATGGGAGGGAGCGGTGCTGTCCTGTACATTTTTGGATGTTTAGCATTACCTCTGACCTTTACCCACTAGATGTCAGTAGCACACTCCCCAATTGTGACAACCAGAATGTCTTCAGACATTGCCAAATATCCTCTAGGGGGCAAAATTACCTCCCCTCCCTTGAGAACCACTAGTTATTGTAATGTTACTGTTTTTCTTCTAGAGTTAATAAGTGTCTCATAGGGAGATATTTGGGGATTTCATATATGTCCCTTTGCCCCAAAAACTTCCACATACTTGTTTGCAGTAAAAATCTATTGATATTTCTTGCCTGAATCAGTTATGATTCGATGGTTGCCAAATAGTAATTTTCTAATTCCATCATTCCTTCCAATTTATTAGTTGACTTTTTACTGTAAGGAAGAACTTTTCCTTCTGTGTTTACTTATTTGTATTGGTTTGGATTCATATTTTATTCAGTGGACTATAACATTACTAACGTTTATTTGGATGCACAGATTATCCTGATTTGGCCATTGGGAGCTCACCAAGCTGCCCTCTCTGTCCTTTTGACATATCCTTATCAGTCTTTAAGTACTTCCTTCCTTTTCACAATAATATGTTCCAGGCTCATATATATATTCTTTCCCTACCCTAGCCCAAAACCAGCCTTTTCTCTGTGAAGGCCTGGGTTTTTTAGTCAGTAATGTTATTTATAAACTAAGATCTTGATGCTAGTAATCTTTATTACTAGAATGTCATTATTTCTAGGTCCTCTCAATGGTTAAAGCTAGGAAATATATTTATGTATATACGTATGTGCATGTATACATGTATACACACATATCGATTTATATGTGTATTAAAAATGATAAGTTCGTATTGATACCTCTAATATTTCAGTCCAGTATCACAGGGTTCATTCTATTCTTCTTCGTTCTCATATTTGTAATTTCCTTCTGCCACAGTCAGAAACTTGGCTTCCTATGGATACATTTTGAATCCTTAGACTATAAGCTATCAAAGATCTCAATAGCTAGTTGTGAGTCTTAAAATCAACTAACCTTTTTTTTTTAATATCATTTTCAGGGCCATAATCGTATCATTGCCTACAGTAGACCAGTTTATTTCTGTTTATGTTGTGGTCTTATTTGGCTCTTGGATTATGGTAGCAGAAACCTTACTACAACCAAGTTCAAATTATATGGAATAACTTTCACTAATCCACTGGTGTTTATATCAGCCAGGGATTTAGTTATAGGTGAGTCATCTTTAAAGTATTTCAGATCTTAACATTAATTTATTTGTACACAAATAGTTCCTTGATAAATAGATCAATTATATAGTTAAAAATGATTTTAATAGGCTTACTTTGCTGTTTATTGTAATCCTCTCAGTGAGGAACAAAACTATAGGGCTATTATGAATGAAACAAGTTAATGATGAATACATATAACAGTAACTCTTCTGTCTTGAAACAGATGCGATGGAAGTTTTCCTTTGGATTCTGTATCTCAGATAACTATTATATGAAATGGTTGAAATAATTTTGAAAGCTGTTCTTTATCGTTGAAAAAATTATTTAATACCCAAGCAGTTACATAGAAATAATTTAAAATGATGTTTTTTTTTAAATTGCTTAGTAGTTTATATTCATTTTGGATTTTTTTTTATCATTTATGATCTTAAAATGAACAAAAGGGGATGGATGTTGTATAAATGTTTTTAATATGCTTTTCTTTTCTTCTGTAGTGTTTACACTCTGTTTCCCAATAGTATTTTTCATTGGTCTCCTGCCTCAGGTGAATACATTTGTAATGTACCTTTGTGAGCAATTGGATATTCATATCTTCGGTGGTAATGGTGAGTAGTTCCTTTTAAAAATGACAGATTATAGTATTTTACAGATCATTAAGTAATAAAGTAACATTAAAATACCTTTCCAGTTTTCATTTTAGAATTGAAATTAGAAAAAGGAAATTATTTAATAATTAAAGACTGAGCAGGAATTACTTTGTAGATAGAAAGAAGTAGTCAAGTCTGCCACTTTATTGAAAGATCCAGGAATAATGGAGTTACTTTATAAGAAATGATGAAGTACTATTGTCTAAAACTAAAAGTTGTAGTGAGTTTAAATGGAATTTATATAGACTTATGAAATATTTATAAAAGGTTATCTGTCCCAAATAGATTGACCCCTGATACATGACATTATATTTGAATTTTGAACTAGTGTATGTTTTTGGTATATCTCTGAATATGGTTTCAGAGCTTTGTTATTTCTTTAGAATGGAAACACCAAAACCAAATGCTTTTAGTAAAAGTATTTTCCTAGATAAGATTTTTAGAAGTATCTCTCTGTTTGGAGTAGAATATGTGGATATGAATTGATATACTTAGAAATTTATTCCCCTCTTATATGTATATTTTACTTTGAAAATGAGAAAGACCATACCAGAATTACTCTGAAATAGATAATGGTTTGCAGAACTTGAAATTAATTTTATGGATAGAAACTGTGGTTAAAATACATTGTTATTTAATTTAACCATTTAAAATTTTACTTGAAAGTTGAGTGTATAACTAGAGAAAAAACATAAAAGGAAAAGAAATTACTGTAACTTTTGTGGTCCATTTCTCTTCATACTTCACGTTTGTAGTCCACATCTTCCAAGCATATGCATTGAAATCATCTCTGTTGATAAAATGTTGTTATTGTGGCTTAAATTTTAAATAGAAACTAACCTCTTCCTTTGTTGCTGCTATGAATCTAGGGCATTTTTAATGTTTTGAAAAATTTTTGAAGGGGTGTGAATGAAGACTAGGCTGGTCTTCAGCATAGCTTAATGGGTAGAAGATTGTTTCAGTATTTAGGGTCTGGAGGGTGCTTAGGGTAGGTAATTTATAATAGTGGGCTTCATCATATTGTTACAAACTTGTGCAAGGTGTTAGTTTTTTAATATCTCCTAAAGAAGATTTTTTCCAGTAGGTTTTTTTTTCATGGTTATCATATAAAATTACCATGAACAAAATCTGTTATTCATATTTTTAAAAAAATAAAGGAGAGCTATCTTAGCCATCCCCTAGTCCTTATTATTAGTAATCCCATTGAATCTATTTTTTTCCACTTGTAAGAATAGAATTTTTAAGATTTTTTTTATCTTTTATTGAAGTATAGTTCTTTGATGTTGACATACAATATTATATTAGTTTCAGGTATATGACATAGTAATTTAATAATTTTATACATTAAAAAATGCTTGCCCCTGTAAGTGTAGTTATCATCTGTCACTCTACAAAGTTATTCCAATATTATTGACTATATTCCCTATGCTATACTTTTCATTCTGTGATTCATTTATTTTATAACTGGAAGTTTGTCTCTTTATCCCTTTCACCTATTTTGTCCAGCCCCCTGGTTTGGCAACCACCAGTTTGTTATATGTTCGTTAGTCTGTTTCTGTTTTTGTTTTTTGTTTTGTTTTTTAGATTCTACATGTGAGTGAAATCATATGGTATTTGTCTTTTTTTGCCTGACCTATTTCACTTAGGATAATGCCCTGTAGGTCCATCCATGTTGTTGCAGCAAATGGCAATATTTCATTCTTGTTTGTGGCTGAGTCTGTTGATGGACACTTACCTTGCTTCCATATCTTGACCATTGTAAATAATGCTGCAATAAACATAGGAGTGAATGTATCTTTTCTAGTTAGTGTTTTCGTTATTTTTGGGAAAATACCCAGAAATGGAATTAACTGGATCATCTGGTAGTTCCATTTTTAATTTTTTGAAGAACTTCCATACTGTTTTCTTTAGAGGGTGCACCAGTTTACATCCCCATCACCAGTTGCATGAGTGTTCCCTTTTCTCCACATCTCGCCAACACTTGTTATTTCTTGTCTTTTTGATGCTAGCCACTATGGTATAAGCTGATACCTGATTGTGGTTTTGATTTGCATTGATGATCAGTGATGTTGAATGTCTTTTCATGTGTCTGTTGGCCATCTATATATCTTTAGAAAAATGTCTGTTCGGGTCTTCTGTACATTTTAATCTGATTACTTACGGTTTTTGCCCAAGTTGAGTTGTATGAGTTCTTTATATATTTTGGATATTAACCCTTTATCAGATATGTCATTTACAGATATCTTCTTCCATTCAGTAGGTTGCCTTTTTGTTTTGTTCTTAGTTTCCTGCATGCTGCAAAAGCTTTTTTAGTTTGATGCAGTCCCAATTGTTTATTTTGCTTTCGTTTCCCTTTGCTTGAGGAGACAGATCCAGGAAAATATTGCTAAAGCCGATGTCTACGAGATTACTGTCTATGTTTTCTTTTAGAAGTTTTATGGTTCATATCTTACATGTAGGTCTTTAATCCATTTTATTTTTGTCTGCGGTGTAAGAAAGTGGTGCGGTTTCATTCTTTTGTATGTAGCTGTCCTTTTGCCCGAAACCACTTACTGAAGAGGTGGATCTATCTTTTGTTTTTGTTAGTTATTAATTAGTCAGATCTGTACTTTTTTGTGAGAATTAATTGACACATGGTAATATAAATTTACTTCCTTGGGTAATACAACTTCTGTTTACAGAGACTAGTATCTTTTTGTGAATACTTAATACATTGCCAGTTCTTTTAAGCCTCTGCAAGCTTCATTTTCCCATACTTTTGTAAATGATAAGATACATTCTTGAAGCATAATGTAGGTACAACTTTTTCTGCCATGTATAAATGTTCATTACTTATAAGGTGAATATATTTTGTCTTGTATCAAAAACTGTGGATAGTAAACCTTTGTCATTTCAAAATCTTTTCAAAGGATAGGATGATGTAACTGAATTTGACATAACTGAATTTTTAAAAGTCAAATGAGTAGATATTTCATTGTAGTCAATATTATAACATTTTAAATACTTTTAAGATTTTTTTTCCCATAAATGTCTATAAAATATTAAAATTTTTCCCCTTTCCTGTCTAGCCACTACAAGCTTGCTTGCAGCACTTTACAGTTTTATCTGTAGCATTGTGGCAGTAGCCTTACTATATGGATTGTGTTATGGCGCTTTAAAGGTGAGCAATACATTATGGTATGATTTTGTCTTTAAGGCTATTTTTCTTTTTCTTTTTTTCTTTTTTTTTAAGATTTTATTTATTTATTTGAGAGACAGAGTGAGAGAGAGAGAGATAGAGATAGAGAACAAGCAGGGAGGGAGGGAGAGGGAGAAGCAGGCTCCCCACTGAGCAGGGAGTCTGACATGGCGCTCAATCCCAGGATCATGACCTGAGCCGAAGGCAAACGCTCAACCGACTGAGCCACCCAGGAGCCCCTAAGGCTATTTTTCTATATGAAGATTGTTTTAAATTGACTAATAATGATTTAAGCCCCCATCCCTCCATTCTCCCTGCAGCCACTTTAGCATTAATTTCCATGATCTTCATATATTGAATATTATTCTCATTCTTATTTACTTTGAACTTAAAAGCAATTTCATGCTTAACCATTATTAAAAAGTAAATCCTTTTCCATGTAGTAATCGTAGGTTAATATTAGAAACAGATTATTAAAACTAGGTTGGTCTGGGGTAGAGGTGGGTATGGTAATAACAGAATATGAAATTAATTTTAGATTTTTACTTAAGAATATATATATAACTACTATTCACATCAAGATTTCTTAAAACTTGTGAGTACAAGTGCAAGGACTGCAATTTAAGATACATTCTAGTAAAAATTAATGCACTAAAATTCAACATCATTATTGGCTTAGAAGAATCTGGATGAGCCTTAATTAGCTCCATTTTAAAAAGATTGCCACCAAGTTGTAAACATAGAAATTTTAAATTTCTTGTAAACAACTCTCAACCCCTATTATTATTATTACTATTATCATCATCATCATCATCATCATTAATGCAAGACAATCAGAGAATGATAGGGTTGAAAGGACTAAGAAAAGTGACTCATAGCATCCTTTTTTGCATCATTTATTCAGTAGCATTTAGGGAGTGTTTGCTGTGTGCCCAGGACTGTGCGAAACACCATTTCCTGCTTTTAAATTGCTTGTCTCTTAGCTGTGATTAGTAAGTCAACCAACACTTTCAGTAGAGGATGATGAAGGCTGTGAAAATGGAGTGGTACAGGTTATAAGTTGTCACCTTATTTAGCCAAAAGGGATTAAAGATAATTTTCCAAGAGGGGTAGCTTTTTAACCAATATTTGACAGACAGCTAGAAATCACCTAGTTGAAACATGGGATGAAGAGCCATGGAGTTGTCAAGATAGTGTGATATGTACAGGAAACAGCAAATAACTTGGAATTGCTGGAGGTTTGGGTGCATGAGAAAAGATGCCTTCAATAAGGCTGGAAAGATAAGCAGTGGCTGGATTATGAAATATCTTACCCTGAATGTATTGGGTGGAGATGGAAGACCATCATAATTTTTTTTTTTTTTTTTTTTAACAAACCATCAGAATATTTGAGGTAAGGTAAAGAAATGATCAGTGTTGTGTTTCAGAAAGATTACTTGGTCTCTGGTGTGAAAGGAGATTGAAATATAAGCAGGAGGGATCAGCAGTGGGGTGAGTTGTATTGCAATCTTGAAATTATGAGGGACCTAGCTAAAATTGGATTCAGTGAATATATTTGAGGACTCTATGGATAAAGAGAGAAAAGCCAGAAGAGGGTCCAGCATGACTTCTGGGTAGGGTCTGCCTTGAACAGCTGGTTAAATAGTGATACTAGTGCCTAAGATTGGAAATCTTTGAGTTTAGCGAGGAAGGTGGTTGTTTACAGATGGACACATTCATTTGATGACATTCATGGGGTATCCAGAGAAGCACAATAGGTAGTTATATGTAGAGAGTTTTGAGGTAATGATTAAAAGATTTAGGATTCATCAACTAAATGAAAGTGTAAGTAAAAGACTGCTAACCTGGACTGACAAGAGGAAATGGATACAGATAGAACCCTGGGAAATGCAAGTATTTAAGTGATGGATAGAACAGAGTCCCCCAAAGGAAACTTCAGAGTCAGGATTGTCTGAAAAAAACTTTTTACTGAATTTGGCAGTTAACAGATTATTGGAGACTTCAACAAAACAGCTTCTTTGGTGTTTTGGCTGAGGAAGCTAGATGATTATAAGGTTGGGTTTGAATAAATATTAAGGAACTATAAGACACGCTTTCTAAACATGTACATAATGGGGGTTGTTTTCAGGTTTTTATTTTTTAAAAAGATTTGAGACTTGATTGCATTTAAAAGAGGAGGGGAAACCCAGTAGAGAGAGAGATACTTGATGGAGCTAAACCCAGGAGGGAATTGGAGGCAAGGAGATTGAAGCTTCTCCTAGGTCCACTACCTGTAAACCATCCTAGCTTACAGGAGTCATGTTTCGAAAGTGAGAGGTTATTTGGAAGTTGAAATCATAGAAGTTAACAGTGCAATAAGTTTTCTAGCCCAGTGTACAAAGGGCTGTTTATAATTATCTAGTAGAAGAACAGCAATTATAAAACTGCCAAATGGAACCTTGTATCCTAAGCAGGCAGGAAGATAAACTATTTTCCTTTTTTGTTGGTTATGGTGGTTTCATTACACTATTTTAGTTTTAGATGTCACCCATTACAGTAAATCTGCACATTTAGAACAGATTTTTATGTGCTAATATGGAATGATTTTCAAGACAAACCATGTTTTTTTTAAGATTTATTGAAGTATTATCAACAAATAAAGTTATAAGATATTAAAAATGTATGTGATGATTTCATTCACTGTGAAAGGACTCCCCTCATCAAGTTAATATATTTATCACCTCACATATTTTTTTGTTTTGTTTTGGTGAGAGCGCTTAAATTCTTCTCTTTTAGCAAATTTTAGTTATACGATACAGTGTCATCAACCAGAATCATTATGCTATCCATTAGATCCTCAGACCTTATTCATCTTGTAAAAAATTTTTAAGTTTATTTAAATTTTTAATTGAGGTATAATTGACATATATCATTGTATTAGTTTCAGATGTACAACATAATTTGATATTGTATGTATTGTGAAGTGATCACAATAAGTCGAATTAACATTGTTCAACACACAGTTAAAAAGTTTTTTGTGTGTGTATCCTGATGAGAACTTTTAAGAACTTTCTCCTAGCAACTTTCAAATATGCGATGCTGTCTTATTAAATACAGTCGTCATTTTCACCTTCACTCATTTCTCACCCCCCGCCCCACCTAGACCTTTATTGAAAGTTTGTACTCTTTTACCAACCTTTCCCTATTTCTCCCGCTTCCCTGTTCTTGGCAGCCACTTTTCTATTCTGTTTCTGTGAATTCGACTTTTTTTTTTTTAAGGATTTTATTTATTTATTTGAGACAGAGAATGAGAGAGAGAGAGCGAGCACATGAGTGGGGGGAGGGTCAGAGGGAGAAGCAGACTCCCTGCCGAGCAGGGAGCCCGATGCGGGACTTGTTCCAGGGACTCCAGGATCATGGCCTGAGCCGAACGAAGGCAGTTGCCCAACCAACTGAGCCACCCAGGCGCCCCTCAACTTTTTCTTAAAAAAAAAAAAAAGTTTTAGTATATATGATACCATGCATTATTTGTCTTTTCTCTGTCTGGCTTATTTCAGTTAGCATAGTGCCATCCATTTCATCAATGTTGTTACAAATGACAAGATTTCCTTCCTTTTTATTAAGACACACACACGAAAATGTGATATATATATATCACATCCACAAAGGAATATTACTTTAAAACCTTAAATTACTTTAAAACTTAAAACCTTAAAAAGGTTTTAAGGTTGAGTAATATTCCTTTGTGGATGTGATATATATATATCACATTTTCGTGTGTGTGTCTTAATAAAAAGGAAGGTAATATCCTCAAAAATGGATGTTCCTTTGTGCTGCTGGTTTGTTTTTTTTTTTTAAATATATCCAGTGGCTTGTATATACATAGAATAATGATGGAAGAATATACAAGAAATTGATAACCGTAGTTACTTCTGGGCAGTTAGATGCATTGGGAGACATTATTGCATACCTTTAGGAATTTTTTTTTTAATCTATTCACTAATATAGACTTTTGCATTTATTATTTATTGATTTCTGCTTTCCTTGTGTTTACTCTTTCATTTTTCCTTGAACTTTTTGTCTCAAAAGCTAAGTTTTTTTTTTCTAATACACCTTTACTTCATTCTAGCAATGTGTGTATACTTTCTAGGTGTTTTCATATTTTTAAGAGATTCCTAGAATTTGGGCCATTACAGAGTAAAGAGAAAATGTTCAAACCCACTACAGTGGGTAGAACAAACCCATCTTTTAATCTTTTGTAGTAGGTCAACTTCCCTTTTGTTTTCATAGTTACTAAATTTTCTCCCACTTCTGAATCAGAGTTCATTGAAAACTCAGAGGTGGTTGGGTTTGTTTTGCTTTTTGTTTTTTTAGTTAAGTGATTCAGTAAAGGTTGTAGTTACTATCTATTTAAATATTCATGAATTATATTAAATGTTGATTATTATAAATTCCTAGTAACTAAGTAAGTGATTTTGAGATCAATTTAAGTATGCTTTTCCTTTGAGAACAATAAAAGGTAGTGTCAAGCATTTGTCAGATAAAGGCAGGAATCTTTAGTTTTCTCCAAACACTTGTTTTAATTGAAGAAAAATTTACATAGAGTGATATCCATGTGTCTTAATTACACAGTTTGGTAAGTTTTAGCAAATCCATATATCTGGGTCATACATACCCTTCTCAAGATACAGTCCCATCACCACACGAAATTTCCCTTGTGTTCCTTTTTCTGCGCCCCCTGCCCCAACCACTTCTACTATAGATTTGGGGTTCTTGAACTTCATACAAATGGAATGTACCTCTTTTGTAGCTGATGTATTTTGTTCAATATAACGTTTTGAGATTCATTCACATTATGTGTTCCTTTTTATTGCAGGAAAATATCCCATTTAGTTTTAAATTGTCCCTATTCCCATTGTATGCATATGTCAACTTCTCTGCTGTCTTAGAGGTGAAGATCTGAGTTGTTTAGAGTTTAGGAATATTTTCTTTTAAGACTTTATTTATTTATTTATTTGACAGAAAGCGAGCACAAGCGAGGGGAGGGGCAGAGGGAGCTAGAGAAGCAGGCTCCACACTGAGCAGGAAGCCCGATGTGGGGCTCAATTCCAGGACATTGGGATCATGACCCGAGCCGAAGGCACACTCTTAACAGACTGAACCACCTAGGCGCCCCTAGAGTTTAGGAATAGTATGAATAAAGCTGCAATGAGCACACATATGTTTTAATTTTTCTTGGGTAAACCCCTAGAGATGGAATTGCTAGTTTTCTGAAGCGGGACATCTTTTTATTAGTTTTAATGTTTACTAAAGTTGTGCATGTGTATCTTTCAAAGAATCAGATATTTCTACAAGACTTATCACCAGAAACAACCATCCCCTACCTCTTTATCCCTTCCTTAGAGTTACCACTTTCAATTCTTTGAGTTGATTCTTTTTTTTTAAGAGTTTTTTTTTTTAATTTTATTATGTTATGTTAATCACCATGCAGTACATCATTAGTTTTTGATGTAGTGTTCCATGATTCATTGTTTGCGTATAACACCCAGTGCTCCATTCAGTACGTGCCCTCTTTGAGTTGATTCTTTTGGTATTTGCCTCCCAGTGTCTTAAGTAACTAACTTACACTTCTTATATTTTGTCAAGTTTTATGCATTACCCATGGACTGTGCTTTATGGAAGTTGTAGCCTTAACTTTTTGTCACCTCTCACTGCACATCTCAACCGCATGGGGTCTTCCTTGTCTCTCTCATATACCTGATATGTTTCCTTTTATTATCACTGTGCAAATGCTATTCCAACATACATTTTGTTTTCTCTTTATGTATTTCTCTCTCTCTCATTCTCAAATTCCTGTATTGTTGAACTTCCTTCTCAGTAAATCCAGACATCGGGAGCTTCAGTTCCTGGCTCCACCACTTAACTGAACAAATTACTTGAACCCTTTGCGCCTGAGTTTTCTCATCTATAAACTGGGGAGCAATAGTATATATCTCCAAGGATGATCATAAGAATTGTTTAGGGTGGGAGGGATGGGGTGGCTGGGTGATAGACATTGGGGAGGGTATGTGCTGTGGTGAGCGCTATGAATTGTGCAAGATTGTTAAATCACAGATCTATACCTCTGAAACAAATAATACAATATATGTTAACCTTAAAAAGGTTTTAAGGTTGAGTAATATTCCTTTGTGGATGTGATATATATATCACATTTTCGTGTGTGTGTCTTAATAAAAAGGAAGGTAATATCCTCAAAAATGGATGTTCCTTTGTGCTGCTGGTTTGTTTTTTT